TTTAAGTAAAGCCTAAAGTACAGGGAGGAATTGTTTGGATAGAAGCTTGCTGGAGCAGGAATGCATGGGAAGAGGATATGGAAGGAGAAGTAACATAAGTCCAGAGATTCAGTTAGGGATGGAGGAATAAGAATAACGGATTAATAATAATAATAATAATAATAATAATAATAAACTATGATGACTAACATATAGGGAACATTTACTATGTACTTACTGTCATTATAAGAGCTTTATCTGAACTTTTTCATTTAAAATGCCAAAATAAAGCCTATGAAGTAGACACCACCTTAATTTCAGAGAAACAGGCACAAAGAACTAACATGCCTCGAGTTGCACAGCTGGAAAGTGGAAGAGCTAGATTTGAACCAGGTACCCTGACTTTGTCATTTATTCTTGGGCACCACACTATAATGTCAACCAAGCATTAAAGAACTGGTCGGAATTTCCTGTGTCAGGGCCCCACCTTCACCTCAAAAATTTCTGGCTGGTAAAATTTACTTAATATTCTTCATACACTTACTGATCTCATGCTTTGAGCTGAACAGGGCCCCACCTAACTATGTGTCACTCTCTTCCTCCAAACTGTGATCCTGCCTCTTGATCAGGTGACTTGGTAAGACAGCCAACTGTAGTCAAGTTCAAGGCGAGGAGTCTGCAAGGTGGAGCCGAGACCAAGTCAGATCCATCTGGGGAGNAAAAGTCTCACTGAGACAGTATCAGTATTTGACATTCGGAACCAGAAATAGAATAACTGTGAGATTAGCTTCTAATAACACAACTTCAACAATTTCAATTTAGCCTCCTACCTTTTCTCTGCAATCATTTCCCAAAACCTCAAAGTATTTCAAAGCAGGAGTCTGACTAAGGGAGGAAATGGCACCATTGTGTAAGGCAGGGGCTGCATTTTCACTAAGGATGCTTCTACCACACCTCCTCTCCTTCCTCCCTGTTCTAGGTCTCTGGGGTCTGATCAACAATGCTGGTGTTCTTGGCGTGTTGGCTCCCACTGACTGGCTGACAGTGGAGGACTACAGAGAACCTATAGAAGTGAACCTGTTTGGACTCATCAATGTGACATTAAATATGCTTCCCTTGGTCAAAAAAGCTCAAGGGAGAGTTATCAATGTCTCCAGCATTGGGGGTCGGCTTGCATTTGGCGGAGGGGGTTATAGCCCATCCAAATATGCAGTAGAAGGCTTCAATGACAGCTTAAGGTAAAGCAAACATTGACATATTAGGAAATAATAGCTGCTAACATTTATTGAATGTTTATTATGTACCAGACGCTATATTTAGTGCTTTAAATTATTCCCAATTTATGGATGATCCCACTAAAACTAAGAAGTTAAATAACTTCCCAAGGTCATCCAACTATGATTTTAACCTAAGTCTATGTTTATAGAACTGAGATTTGAATGTAAGTCTTTTTTACTTTTTGATTTAATGCATGATGCTGATAGTGGTAGTGAATTTATATTCAACAGGTCAGTTTGTTAAATAGTTTAGGAATCATATACAGAGGCTGAGTCAAGGTAGGTCTCTCCATTGGTGTTACTGTCAGTGGCAGACACAACAGTATCATCTTATTTGAACCTTCAGTAGAGAATTATCTGGTAAACTAAATGTAATTATCACAAAGTAATAACTCAGCTATGCACTTTTTTCTCTCTTGTTGAA